TATTTTGATTAATTTTATATTTTTGTGGCTTATTTTGATTCCCAACTCTTATATTGAATGTAATAAAGAAATTGCCATTATTTTATAATATATTTTTTCTTAAATCTAAAAGGACTTCTGAAATTTTCAACAAATTGCAAATTCTGTTTCACCTCACCATACCCCACTCTATTTCAATTGTTATTCTTATCTACAATGTAGTCATTGTATTTTTATTTTATTTTTTCAATTACAGTTAAACGTGACAAAAATAGATACATCTCAAAATTACAATGGAGCGTAGTGAAATAATAATTAATGATTATATATATAATCAATAGAAAAAGCTTCTATTTCGAATATTGGTTATTTTTTATCAATTTTCTTGCAATATATATGAATTGCCATTATATTATTCAAAGTCTGTTGATCTATAAAGAGATTAACAATCTAACAAGTATAAAAGAAATAAAATCATCAAAACAATCAATATATTATCTATATTTTATTATCGTTCATGTGAGGGATAAAAATAAATAGTGATAGGACAAATTTTTAACTTATTTCACTATTTATATCATAGTAATGAGATAAGTTATATCATATACAAAGTTAAATAAATTATACCAGAAAAGCTAACCCAGAATAACTGATCTTGGGATAATTTTCCCAACCAAACGACTATAGCGGAGGATAACTAATCCTGTGCTATTGTATAAGAAGGAAGGATCATCAATTATATGTATGCTATATATCACCAAAATATATGTATTTAACTTTCCCCCGATATATGTATGCTATATAGGGTCCAGTCATAATAGTAGGTATAAATTTGAGTTCAAAGTCTAAAGGGTAAAAGAAATTGTCAAGAATTCCAAAGGGTTATATCAAATTTTTTGAAAACCAAAAGGGCAACAATGCTCCTCATGTACCAAAGATATTATATACACGATTTTTTCTTCTTAAAAAAGGATTTTTCGAGACTAAATTGCTAACAGGTCAGCAACTTTGATTCTAACAAAGTAACAATCCCAGAAAAATATTACCACGTGACGAGCATTTCGTCTCTTTTGATTAAAAAAAATTAATGTACTCTTTTAAAATTTTTGACAAATTATTTTGTCCTTTAGACTCCAGACTCATAAATTCAGTAGAATAATAGAACAATATTGACATAAAAACTATACTTATGGTTACAAAAATCATGTAATATATATATATATATATATATATATATATATACTGAGAATTAATAAATGAAATCTTTTGATTTTCTCTATTTGCATAGATATTCTATAAAATACAATCAAATGTATATCATATGACATGACCAAAGAAGAAATTAAGCACCAAAATACATATGGACCACATGTGAAATTGTCCAAGAAACCAACCACAAACCACTTTGCTCTCTTTTGTCTTTGTTAAACCAATTTCTCCTATCATTTCTACCACAATACAAGGGAATTGTTTTTTCTATCTTGGTTTCATTTCATTAGCATCTTTTTTTTGGTGTGTGTATGTGGGGATTTTGGAATTATGAACAAATGATTTAAAAGAATAATAAGTAGATAATGAGTTTATTTATAAGGTAGTTAGTTTGTGTTACTTTCTGTGTTTTCGTTTTGATTCTATCATAAAATTAAAATATATTAAAATAATTTATAATTTTTGTGATCTTTGAATTAAAATATATTAGTATAATACTTATTAATATCTAATATGAGGGTCATTAACTCACACAATATATTAACTTAATATTTTAAGAAAAAACTCCATTTGGGTTGAGCCTTTGCACGTTGCTTAGGTATTAATGAGTAAATTTTAGGTTTAGCAAACATAAAAATTATATTTGTATGATATAATTAACTATAGTTTGCATATTGCGTTTCATAATAATCTTTATGTTTGCTATTAATTATAGTTTGCATATTGCGTTTCATAACAATCTTTATGTTTGCTATGGAACATCATATTTGTATAAATTGTTGGGAGCATCAGATTTTTATAAATCGTTGACAACCTCTTAATTCAATTTTATGTGTTTATATACAATTGAATCGAATAAAACATTTATATAGTAAATCTCTTTCACTTTATACGACACAAGTTATACATTATAATTTGTAATGTTATGTTCTTAAATATAAAATGTCATTTTCATAAGGTAGTATTAATTATTAATGGTAATGTAGCAATTGATACCAACACTTAATATAGAGAGTTATGAATATTAATTAGTTATGAAAATCATTTGTACTAAAACGATGAGATTAACTTGGGGAAAATGATGTAAAATGGCCACTCTACCATTTACATTACTAAAAAGTTAGTCAAATTTTCAAAATAAGTGAAATTGGTTCAAACTTTCTTCTGATAATGATGATGACTTCCATTTAACATCTAAAAATTAATATCTAAAAGTTAATTAAGAATGTTTAGAGGTGATATCGACTTGATCGAGATTTAATAACCAATATATATATACTACATATATGATTATACTATGTTTAGTTTTTTAGTATATCATAATATATAATCAGTATATAATCATTTATATATATATATGTACACAATATTGTTTAGTCAATTTGTAGTTTCTATAACCTTTTTACATACTATAGTGTATAGTCAGTGCATACTTCCTATAATGTTTGGCTATTTATATATAAATAAAACATAGCTATATTTGTTATAAACTAATTACTTTGTTGTATATAGTTAAAATCATCCTACGATTTTATCTCATATTTAAAATAGAATAACTAATCTCATTATATATAGTTAAACCTTTCTATTATCGTTATTTTTTATAATAACATTTTACGATAATAATAATCAAATTTTCTTTGGAGACGACTTTTATATTATGTTATATTAGTAGTATGTTTTTTATAACAATACTTTGGGATAATAAAAAAAAAAGGTTTTTACTCTATATATTGTTTTAAATAAAGATCACTTTCTCTAGTCTTCTATTTCTCTTGTCACTTTCTCAAGAAAGTTTGACAACCAAAAAAGGAAAATTTAAAAGGAAAAAGTGAAGGACATTAGTGGAGAAACCAGGCTAGAAAGCAAATATCTGAGAATTTGTTTTTATTTTATTTGTCACTTTTTAATTTTTTTTGTCTAAGAATCAGTCCAAAGGATAAAGTTAGAAATTATTAGCAAGTTTTTTATAATATTTTTTTTAAAATTGTGAAGTAAGTGAGACCTCATTTGCTGTTTTGTACGGAATATGATTATTATTATTATTTTTTTTAAAAAGGAGCTTCACCCTTTAAATTAGAGGTCCAACGAAAAAAAAATCATTTAATTTTATGTGGCATTGCTTAATTATAAGAAAAAGCTTAATGATAGAAGAAAAGAGAATTCAAATAAATATCCTCTTGACATTTATTATTTGATTATTATAAGTCTTATAATACTACAACGAAAAATAATTTTTAGCAGTATTAAATATTAACATAAATAAAGAGCGCTTCAATTTTAATCAGCATTATAGAAACAATGTCGCTAAAGGCTTTAGAAACATATATAAAAAATGTTATTACCGCTAATAATACATGAATTTAATTATCGCTATTAATATTATTATTGAATAAGGATAGATAGCGTGTTAACATAGGCCACGTTACATATTTGAATAGATAATTTTGTCGATGTTTATGCTTAGCTCATGGGAAGCTGTGTGATTACAAGTATTATTACTTAAAAAAGTACTCATTTTCCTATGTTTATTGTAGTGGGGTTCATTGACGATAGGGTAGATCTATAATTTTGCTTATGAGTTTCGAAAAATTTAATAATTTTGATTTGAAATTTTATTTTTATATTAAAATATACTAAGTGAATATTTATAACTATTAGACAAAATATTTATAAATGAATGTTCTAAGTATTAGACCAAATTTTATAATTTTTTTATTTTGATTTCTTAATAAATCTTTTTTTAATGTGAATTTGAAACGATATATATATCAAGTCATGAGAATAAAATGTCTTTTTTATTTTTTTATTTGTTTGGCTCTTTAAAACTTCAAAATATAATTGATATAACGTAAATATTTTATTAAAAATTCAAGAAAAGATGGTAAAAAGACTCGTATATACAAATTTCTTTGAGTTTTATCGTCAAAGACCTCAAATTTTGACCACAAAAAAGAATATTCGTGGGAGTTTTATATTCAAAATATTTTGGAAATTTTTGCAAGATTAGCTAGACAAGCACCACAGTAACAATAGACAAGAATAGTTGCAAAATATATAATAGTTTAATACTATATAACGATGTTATTATATAATATAGGTTCTTAGATTCCATGTTCCCCACCAAGGCACCAAACCCCATTATACCTTTTTTATTTTAATTTATATTTTTATCTATATTTTTAAATACTATTTAAATAATTAATTTCTCATGTTTAAATTGACGTTTGAGAATCTTTCGTAAATATTTTTTTTATTTTTAAAAGATAAAAATAAAATTTATATATATATATATATATATATATATATATATATTTTATCAACTTACAAAATTATATCGAATATATTATACATATATTTTTTTCTGAAGTTTGTTATATATATATATATATATATATATATATCAAACTAAATTAACCTAAAATAACAATTTATATATCTAGTTAAATTCGATAATTATATCTATCTAAAAACACTCTTTTTTTTGTCTCCATTAATAGGGATATATATATATATATATATATAGTGCAAAAGAGAAAAAAAACATTACAATATATATATATATATATATATATATATATATATATATATATATATATATATCAAACTAAATTAACCTAAAATAACAATTTATATATCTAGTTAAATTCGATAACTATATCTATCTAAAAACACTCTCTTTTTTTTTGTCTCCATTAATAGGGATATTAAGGGATGTATATATGTTTTTTCTTTGCAAACCCTATTAGTAACATTATTATACTAAACGTGTCATCGTTATTGATTTAATTTATACAACAAAACAAATAAACTTTAATAGTATCAATATTAATTGGGAACATATAATAAATCATAAATAACTTGCTAAAGCTATTCTTTTTGTGCTATATTTTCTGTTTTAGTCAATAAAAAAAATTATCTTTTTATATTCAGCAATAATTAATAATCAGTCTCAAACTTTTCGTTTTAAAAAAATTCTCTTTTTTTTTTTTTTCTTATTAAAACTTATATTCATATCTGTTTAAATAACATTACATAAATCGAGACGAAGATAGTAACTCTTTTCAAGGCCAAGAAAGGTACTTTATGACTCTATATAAACTATAGTCATCCTTTCAAACAAATTCTATGAGCCTCAAAATATTTTTCTGACCATTACCAAAATGATCAGCTCATACCCTAAAACCACCGGCACCACCACTATCACCACCGTTGACTGCCATAAACAAGTCCGATCGTGGAGGCTCCTCCGCTCTCTAGTGGAGCTACTCATCCCCACTTGCAACTGCACTTTCGTTGAAAACGACAAAGAAAACTACAAGAATATTCCCTCCAACTTCAACTACAATTACCATCATCAGTCATCACTATCATCATCATCCTCCGTTATGATGGGGACCATCTTTGGCTATCGTCGAGGAAAAGTCAACTTTTGTATACAAACAAACCCTAAATCAACCACCCCTATTATTATCCTTGAACTTGCTGTCTCCACTTCTACTCTCGCCAGGTATTCAATTGTACTGTGTGATCATCTTATCTAACAACTTAAAAGGTTTTAGAGATAATACTCTTTCAATTATTTGACTATACTATATTAATTCTAAACACGTCTCACTTGTTGAGACTAAGCTAGTTTTTTTTTTATGAGTCAAACACGTGAACTATTTTCAATTTTTTTGGATGATATTGAGAATTATCGGTGAAATAAATTTTTTTATTAAGAATATTCAATAAAAAATAATTCCAACTATACATTGAAGAACTCTCATTTACTTATTTAATTATATTATGTCTCGAGAATGCCCATTTATGTATGATTTTAATGAGTGCAAATTAAGTATGTGGAATATATTATGCTTTTTTGAGTAGTGGTATAATTTGAACTTGAATATTTTTGCCTACTATGATCAAACAAATTTATTTAATTATGTGGAATATATTATGCTTTTTTGAGTAGTGGTATAATTTGAACTTGAATATTTTTGCCTACTATGATCAAACAAATTTATTTAATTATGTGGAATATATTATGCTTTTTTGAGTAGTGGTATAATTTGAACTTGAATATTTTTGCCTACTATGATCAAACAAATTTATTTAATTATACTATGTCTCAACAGGGAAATGCGAGGAGGTATTGTGAGAATTGCTTTGGAGAGTGGTAATAATGGTGGAAATCAATCCATTTTGAGAATGTATTGTAATGGGATAAAAGTAGGATTTGCTGTGAAAAGAAAACCTACAAAAAGTGATTTACAAGTATTGGGACAAATAGAATTAATAAATATTGGAGCAGGGATTATTAATGGAAAAGAGAATACTAATTGTGATGATGATATTATGTATCTCAGAGGAAAATTCGAGAGGGTACATGGATCTTATGATAACTCAGAATCATTTCATTTGATTGACCCTGAAGGAAGTATGGGCCAAGAATTAAGTATTTTCCTTCTATCCTCTCGTTGCTGACGTGTTTGGGACTGGGACGTATATAGTTGACATAGTCCTCCTCAATTATTGCATGTATGTATGAGGATCAGCGTAAATACTTTTTTTTGGACGATCACGTTCATTCAAGTATCAAAAAGTTTTAAGTTTGAACTACGAAAATGGAAATTGACCGATTTACGCACCCGTTCATCCAATATCAGATGGATAAACAAAAAAAATGTATCAAATTTGGATTTTTTTGGAGTTTTTCATGCATGGGATATAGAACTATTCCATGGTGTTAATTGTTACTTGTCATTTTGTAATTTTTCTGTTTTATTTTATGTCCTTTATTTGCTTATGAGTTTATCATGGATAGCCATGCAAAACCCCTAATTATTTTTTTAAGTTATGCATAATTTCATGACTTTTTCCATGTGGGAATATTTGTATGGGGGTGTTTGTCATCAACCTAAGATCAAATTGTGAGAAAAAAAAAAAGCAAAAGGAAGGATCTTCTATTTTATTTTGTTTAAATTGTTCACCTTGTTCATGGTGAACAATTTAAACAATTAACCATTTTTCACTTATTATAACTAGCATTTTCCTATTATATATATATATATATATATAAAGAAGAGAGGACTGCAAAATTCTTGAACTTGAAACTCTTGAACTTAAAATTAAAAAAAACTTTTTTTAAGGGAAACTTTCACATATAGCCGCTTAAAAATAACTATAGTTTGATAATTACAATATGTAGCTATAGAGCAAACTTATACTATTTAATTATTCATCATAGCTATATATGTTATAATTACCACTTGCGACTAACATTATACATTAATTACGTGGGCTGATTTCGAGTTTGTATAATTAGTCGCGTTTGTATATGTATAATTCGCCAGAATATACAAATATATATGTATAATATACAATTTTTTTAACCTATATACATATACAATTCACCTCTCTCCCACTTTCTGCCCTCTCTCGCTCGCATCTCTCCTCCCTCTCTCAATCTTGCTCGCCTCTCTCTTCCCTCTCCCGATCTCTCTTGTCATTTATACAAATGCATATGTATAATATACAATTATATACATATACAATTTACCTCTCTCTCACTTTCTGCCCTCTCTCGCTTGCCTCTCTCCTACCTCTCTCGATCTCGCTCGCCTCTCTCCTCCCTCTCCCAATCTCACTCACCTATCTCCTCTTCTCCCAGTCTCTTTTGCCATATATACAAATACATATGTATAATATACAATTATCTAACCAATACATATACAATTCACCTTTCTCCCACTTTTCCACTCTCGCTCGCCTCTCTCATCTCTCTCCCAGTCTCGCTCGCCTCTCTCTCCATCCTCGCTCGCCTCTCTCCTCCATATAACATGTAGCTACAAACTGTAGTTATCAAACTGTAGTTATCAAACTATATTTATGGAGAATAATTAATTATTTTTAAGTGACTATATGTGAAAGTTTCCCTTTAAAAAATGAGGCATATGCCTTAGGGCATCAAATTCGAATGACCCATTTTTTTAGTAATAATAAATTATTATAAGCTTTTTTAACCAAAAAAATATACTATATTTTAAATTTTGTCATCTTTTTTCTACTTTGTTTCGAAACATTATACAATGTTTTTTTTTAATCATTTTTTAAATTTAATTCCACGTGATAAGTTTAAGATCACAAGATTAAAAAATATTTTGATATATATATCTTTAGTTTAAAAAATCATAAAAAATAATACATTTTTATTACAAAGAAATAAATAACTTTAAATCCTATATATAAAAAAATAAAAAAATAATTAAAAATTAGCCTAAGGTTGGTGGAAGTAGCTAGCACTATGTTTCTCCCACTTAACGTTCTTTGTAACACAAGAGTCAAAGTTTCAAGAATACAACCAGAGGCAGACCTACTTAGTTGTAAGTGAGTTTGATAAAAAAATATAATGTATACATATATGTTTAATTTGTTTTTTTGAAATAATACACCTATATATGAATAATGTGACCCTACTTAAATCAATAGTAGTGCGTAGTCCAATGGAAGAGTGTGTTCCTTTTGTACGATACATTCGGGTTCGATTTTCAGACGAAAATAATCTATACAAGTATGATATCAACAGATGAAAGAAATGAAATGAAAATTGTCAAAGTAAAATTATAAATATGATGATCACAATCGAAACATATCGTTTTTTTCTTCTGATTTGGAGATCACGTAATTCTTTGGTTCATTGATCTTTTTATTTTGTTCATCCTCCATTGGTTTCTTCGGAAAAGAGATGTAACAACTTTAATATGTCTCGTTTTAACGCTACCAAAAGTGTGGAGTATAATAGTGAGAGACGCTTATATTGATAGTTTGCATTCTGCTAATTCTCTTCTTTTTTTTTTATATTGCATGCTTATGAAATCAATTTCTATCTTTCATATTATTGTTCTAATTAGAATATTTGTTTGGCAGTTCAATTTCAAATGCAATGAAGAGGTTTTTGTCTCCAATATCATCCAAGTTACCATAATCAAGTTAATATTCATGTGGAAGAAAATTTGATCCGATTGGAAGAGAATCAACCTTCTTTTAAAAGATAAAGGAAGGAGTAGATTTGAATTATTTACCGGTAGATCCAAAGAAAAGAATACCCATTTTGGCATATCATTCAGATGAACGTGATGAGATTATATGAGCACATATCAAAGAGGACCTCATCAACCATGAATTTCCAAGTTTTCTCAAAGAGATATTTACGAATTAAAGAGTCGTTTTAGTTATAAATTGTTCAAAAATATCATGATTATTAGAGTATAGTGTGATTGAAGATGCAACTTATTGTTTATGTTATTATTTATTTCAAGATGAAGCATTCATCACAGTGGAGGCGGAACATTTTCAAGTATAGGATTTGTCACGCCCTGAGCCTACACTCTTGACGCGCGGGACTGACACTCAAGAACCATTTCTAGCTCCGAGCGAACCCTGAGCCTGACTTAACTTATAGCGGAAGACTTAAATAACAAGAAACACTCTCAAAGGAACACTCATGTCTTAAAGAAATATTAAACTAGTCAAAATGACAACTCAAGTCTTATAACGTATACCACTGAAAACAAAAAGACTAAATATAACTACTCGTCTATGAAGCCTCTAAAATAACGAGGGATGTCGGGACAAGACCCGCGATCATCCTAACAGCTCAAATGCTAAAACAATGTAAAAGGAATCCTCAGGAAAGTAAGGAGGCTCACCAACTGACTCTGAGTGCTCAACGAGACGCTGTATGGTGATCCTGATTACATGTATCTGCATCATAAAATGATGCATGCCAAATGACATCAGTACATTGAATGTACGACAATGTGAGGGGAAAAATAACATGCCATAAGCTTGAAAGGGTTCTGAAAGAACACTTACCTTAGCTTTACTCAACTCATGAATACTCAACTCAAATGCGAAGTAAAAACAACAATAAATGTGCAATTTATACAATCATTTAAAATAGTAAATGACAACTCAATGTATTAAAGAAATAAAATAACAACTTAATCCATATATAAAATAATATAATACCGTGAGAGTTTCTCTAACCCAAACCATCACTATGAGCTAAAGTGATGATATAGTGTATCGCCCTGTTGCCAGAACTATCCTATACCTTGTCGTGATATAGAACGCCTCAACTAAGAGGATCCACTAGTCTATGCTAAAAATAACTAAGTTATCATCTAAAAAGTATGATTCTTTCTAGCCATTATGGCTACATGGTTTATGGAGACTTGAGTTATTATGAACTCGTCCCCATATCGGTGCTCAATACTACTCCAAAATATACTCAACTCATATGTTTGTAAAAGCAAAACTCTTTCTGTGATTTGAGGTAATTACTCAAAAAAAAAAAAACTAGCTTAAAAGCTCTCTTGGAAATAAATGTTTCCTTTCTTGTTTAAATATAAAAATATTTCAACTCTTGGAAATACTTAGTTCCCATATAATCTTTTGAAGAAATGACCTTTACTCTTACTCTTTACTCAACTCAAAATTCAAGCCTTAAAACAAGGTTAAAACGTTTGTAAAAGACTTTTGGAAAACTCCATGAATTTTTCTTGACTTGATTCTTAACTTTCCTTGAATTGAATTATGGATTCAAGGTTCATGATCTCATGTTTATTGAAGATTTCATGATGTTTAGGCGTACATCATAGTGCAGAAAACTTAGGTACGTCGCTAGGGAACTAGTACAAATTTAAGTGAGAAAGGATGAAAAACCTGGCGTCCTAAAGCTCCGAACGACATGGGGCGCCAGAGGGTGAAGTGTAGAACCTGGGTTGAGGTGCTCTGACTGGCTTGGCGCCCCTAAGCCTAATTTCAGAACCTAATCAAAATTCTGCTTGAGAGTCGTGGCTCCCCAACCCCCTCTCCAGAAAATCCTGAATTTCTTCTTCGTTCTTCAACTCTAAGCCCTGTAAATTCACTTGGTTCTTTTCCCAAACACTTAGATTCGAATACCTTACCAATATACGTAAGAATCTACTTAAAACAACACTTAATTTCATGAATCAAACTCAAGAACTTCTCAACGACTTCAACAAACAAAATCACACAAAAAAACTTAAACAATTTCATCAAGAACCCATAATCTTTCTTTCAAGAACAAAATTTCACGGAATTGAATCATAGTTGGCGCGTGGGTGAACTAACCCAACACTATGAGATCTCACATACCTTGTAGGATTGAATCCTTGGCAAAATCCACAATCACAAAAATTGATTTACACGTATTGGGACAAATAGAATTAGTGAACATTGGAGCAAGGATACTTGACATAGTCCTACTCAATTATTGCATGTATGTATGAGGATCAACGTATATACTTTTTTTGGACGATCATGTTCTTCAAGTATCAAAAAGTTTTAAGTTTGAGCTATGAAAATAGAAATTGATTACGCACCCGTTCAATTAGCTTATTCCAACATCAGATGGATAAACAACAAAAAAAAATATATCAGATTTGGATGCATTGGATATTTATCTTGTCATTTTGTAATTTTTCTGTTTTATTTTATGTCCTTTATTTGCTTATGAGTTTATCATGGGTAGCCATGCAAAACCCTAAAGAAAGTTTTGAGTTATGCATAATTTCATGACTTTTTCCATGTGGGAATATTTGTATGGGGATTGGGGTGTTTGTCATCAACCTAAGATCAAAATTGTAAGAAAAAATGTAAAAGCAAAATGTAGGATCTTTTATTTTATATTGTTTATTCTCATTATTGCTTAGTTTGTCATTAGTTCATTTAGTGTCCAACTATTTTATACAAAAAATATTTTTTATGTATTATTGACAAGAGAGTTATTCGGATGGTAGTAGGGGTGGGCATAAACACCGAAAAACTGAACCGAACCGAAATTTTTCAGAATTTCGGTTTTCGGTTCGGTATTCGATTTATTTTTTTGTATTTTCGGTATTTCGGTTCGATTTTCGGTATATATTACTTTGAAATTCGGTATTTCGGTTTAAACCGAAATATTATATTATAATTTATAAATTATATTATATTTAATAATTATTAATATTAAATAATTTTTTTTAAAAAAATAAGAAACCTAATAGCTAATACCCTATCATTTTGACACTTTCTAGTTTTCTAGTTTCTACAGCCTCACTAGTCACTCCTCATCCTATCCTCTTCATCAATTCAAAACTTCAACTCTTCTTCCTCTTCTTTTCTCCTCTTCCTCTTCTACTCTAGCCGCCGTCCATCGTCCACCAGCAGCAGCGCCACCAGCCGCCGTCCAGCAGCAGCTGCCAGCGCGACAGCAGCAGCCAGCGCGATAGCCAGCAGCCAGCGCGACAGCAGCAGCCAGCCAGACGCCGGCGACAACAGCCCACTAAACAGGTCCATTAAAAAATCGAAATAAAAAATCGAACCGAATTAATAAAAACCATACCGAATTAACAAAAACTGAACCGAACCAAAATATTTCGATTCAGTATTCGATACGCAATTTACAAAAATTGAAAACCGAAAAAACTGAAAAAAAACTCGAACCGAACCGAAATACCGAATGCCCACCCCTAGATGGTAGGCACCCTCACTTCTGACCCAAAGGTTGGGGGAACTCCCTTTTTACTTAATTATTCTCCCCAGTTCATTTAATTACTACATGTTTGCTAATTACGATTAGTAGCGAGGAGAAAGGCGAGCGAGATTGGGTGAGGGGGGCGAGAGAGGGGAGAGAGTGGACAAATGTGAATTGCATATGTATATCTGTCAAAATAATTGTATATATGTAACTAATATACATATTTATTTGTGAATTGGGAGAGGGAGAAGATTGGCGAGCGAGATTGAGAGAAGGCAAATAGTGGAATGAGACAAACTATATAGATATCTATCAGATAAATTGTATATATGTTATCACAGTTGGTCATATGGTACTATACACTTTCGATCATGTCAAGGTTAGTACATGTATGTTACGCCTTTTGTTTCGATATATTTGTACGATTTTAACTTTTCACAAAAGTTAACAAAGTAAAAAATATTTGTATATGTATATATGTCAAATCGTATATGTATATTTTTCAAAATAATTGTATATATGTGACTAATATACACATGTATTTGTATATTTGGTGAGCGAAATTGGGAAAGGGTGGAGATTGGTGAGCGAGATTGAAAAAGAAAGGAGAGAGACGAGCGAGAGAGGGCAGAGGATATATATATATATATATATATATATATATATATATATATCGGATAAATTGTATATATGTTATCACAGTTGGTCATATGGTACTATACACTTCCAATGTCGAGATTAGTACATGTATGTTCCCTTTCATTTCAATTCATACTTTGACAAAAAAATTAACAAAGTATGGAAGATTTTTAAATCATGTTTTGAACTAAAAGTATATAGAGTATATCCAAATGACATTTAATTTTATGATTTTAAACATGTCATATAGAATATTGGACTTAAAAGAGTTACCAAAAAAGAGAAAAATATTCTTTTAAAAACAGGCTAAAAACATAAATATAGCATTAACTAAATATAACATGTAATTTGGCTTATATTCAAAATTACAAATTTCACTTCTTAAAAAGACTTATCCGTAAATATCATTTGAATGACCTGATAAGGTAAACATTTCTTTAAACATGGCCTAATAGAACAACTAATTCAGCATTGTTAATGCCATATAGATACTATGTGTTCTTCTGTGAGCCAAAGTGCACGGTATGTTCACGGCTTAACAGAGCGGAGCTACCGCTGCGGAAGATAGGTCAATTGAACGTGTCGGAAAATTATACTGTGTATATAGGTCAAACATTATCCTTTTATACATATATATTATATATTGAAATTTGCTTCTTCACTTGCTGCAAGACTAACAAAGCTATTTCTTTTTGTGAGAAACTGTTTATATGTTTACAACAACTAAACAACACATCGTGTGTAATCCCACAAGTGAAGTCTATGGAGGGTAGAGTGTACCGTACACAGATAAATGGAGAGGTTATTTCTGAAAGACGCTCTCAGCTCAGGTACAACAAATCAAAGTAGTTATGTAAATGAAAATACGGGATTAATGAAAACATGTCTAATTAATAAGGAAAAGAGCAAAAGAACACTAACAACAACGAAATAATGTGGTAACTAAAACATAATAGACTATAGATGCATATGGTAACAGACACCTTCATCAGCACAAATAGTATTTTTTTCCTTTCAACAAAGTGAAATTCCAGAATTTGATTCTGTTTATGTCAAGAACCTTACATATCATTCACATTCTCGTTAACGATACATCTCTGCCTTCATCATCACAAATCGAAATCACAGTACCATATTTGCTTGTTAAGTGGATCAACAACATTGACAAATGAAACTTAAAGCCAATTTATAGTTCTCTTTTTTTTTTCTTTCTTTTGAAGTTTGTGAATCTGCTCAATTCAGCTGTTCATTAGTTCTTATTGTGTGGACACTGTTTGCCAATATGTTTTCGATATGATTTCCAAATGCAAAAACTTGAACTCGTATTGAAATTCAAGATAGTGAAGTCTTAAAAAGCTTCACTTACATTGATTGATTGTCACTTGTGTGTTGTTGATCTCTTTGTCACTTGTGAATACCACTGCTAGAGAAGGACCTCTTCAAACAAATTGGCACTTTTTGCAACGAACGACCAAAGGAAGAACACTTCATCGCTTCATATAACCTCGAGTTTCTGTTTCCTCTCTTTGCAGCTGCATCAGAATTTTCAGCCTTCCCTTCAGCAAGTTGATCCTTCGAATTAGAACACCCTTCACCGCTATAATCCAAAGTCATTTGACTCATAGCACGACGAACCACTATAACAGCTGATGGATCCATTGAAACTGACCTCATTTCTGTATGCATTACGTTGTTTGCTTTACCTCGATGCTCAGCTAAATCACTACATATTCGCAACCCTTTTCCCTTTGGCTTTTCATCAACAACATGATGAATTTTCTCCAAAAATCCCACAATTTCCCCTTCTTCATTCGACAGCGCAACAATATTTTCATCTCGTACACTCATTTCACCATTTCCCCCCTCATCCAACTCTTGACTTTCCACATGATTCACCTCATCACCACTAGAACCATCCACATCAGTTGAAAAAACTTCCACATTGTTTATCCCTAATGCAGCATTTAAATCAGACACAATAGGAGCACGACAAACCGGGCAATTCATATGTGAACTTAACCAAGTATCAATACAAGTCACATGAAAAGCATGACTACATTTAGGCAACAACCTAAGACTCTCATTTTCTTCAAATTCACTCAAACAAACAGAACAATCAATCCCATCAATCAAATAATCAATCTTTATATACTTAAACTCGGGTATCGACTCAATCACAGATCTTGGTAGTCCAATTGTATGTACATACCAAATTGGATGATCCATATCTGACTCATCAACAAAACCATCATCATTTCCACTCAAATTAGCATCACTTCTCCTCATATTCATGTTGTACTTCTTAAGAGTAATCATATAACAAATGAACACAAACATTGCCCCAAGAACACAAAGCAAAATAACAAAAAAATAAGGCATAGGATGATTTTCACTTCTAATGGGACTAGAAGGAGGAGGAAAAAATTCACCAATCCTACATTCTTTAGGACAACGTTCTGGAGAACAATTCAAACAAATAGCCATTTCATCTTTAATTACAACTACCATCTTCCTATTATACCAAGCCATCAAGAGTGAAAATCAGTACACTGAAACTAAACTACCCTTAAAAAATTTCAAGAAATTTTTTCAAGAAATCAAGAAAAATAACCCCTTTTTGAAAAATTTCAAGAAAATCTTCCTAGAAATCAAGAAAAATAACCCCTTTTAGAAATTTTTCAAGAAACCAAGACCCCTTTTATAGTATTTTTTTTCCAAAAACAACAGAGACAACAACAGAGGAAGATGAAAAAATGAGTAGAGTGAAACTAAAAAGTACCTCAAAAAAACAGAAATTTCAAGAAAATGTATCAAGAAATCAAGAAAATTATAACCCCTTTTTGTGATTTTCTCAGTTAAAGCCACGTATGAGCTGTTTAAAGTAAGATAAATTTTTGGGTCTTTTTTGTGTTTGTTAGTTTTTTTTTAAAAAAAATTAAGAGAAGAATTTGCAAAGATTTAAAAGATTTGTGGTGGATTTGTGAGAGTCAAGAAATGTTTCCCGTACTATGTTGCGTTAAAAATGATGTCGTGGAGTTTTACATCACGTAATTAAAGGATTAAGGAGACTAATTAATTGTTATTGTTGTTATGGATAAAGCTTTTTTTTTGTTTGTATGAAAAAGAAAAACTGATTAGGATTTTTGTTTATTATCTTTTAGCTAAAAGTAAATATGGCTATCGTTATATTATATTATATTATATTGATTTGGTGTAAATTGTGTTATTATTTTAATATTTTTTTTAATTTTATTTTTATTTATTATTTAATAATTTTATCTTAATTCTTATGTTACCTTTTTCGTGGTAGCTCTACCTTGTATCTTAATTTTCTTGTCGATTTATTATTCAAATTATGACGGAGAACGATATAGTTTATCCAAATGTTGTATTCATTAAGATCCAATATAATATGAAGCAATAAAATATAATACATTATAATACGATATATAAACAACAGGTAACTACTATCGAACAAACTGTAAGAGTTAACACAGTGAAATTAAATTTAAGTGAGTATTAATAAGGTAGGAGAATTAAATTAATTAATCAGTGACATATAAGTACTAGTTGTTGCAAGGGCTCAACCTACCTACAAGTTCGAATTTTACAAAATTTAATAATTTTGATTCAAATTTTATATTTATTTTAAGAAATTTATCGTGAATCTATTTCAAAAACATAAGATCTTGATCTCATAATTTTAAGATCTAGATCCATCTTGTTGGGGAATTTAAAAGTTGTTTGCCTTTGTTTTTATGTGTTGATTAAGTCGTTATTTTGATTTGTTTTGCGACAAAGAATATGTATTATATCTTTTATATTTTGAAATAATTAAAATTTTAAAGTTTTCATTCAACTACTAATTATATGTTTTTATAACTGCACACATCATGGTAGAATTAGTATTAGAAATTTTGAATAAAAGGATCGAAATTCACTGCTGGGAAAGAAGAAAAAAACAAAGTGATATCAAGAGCTCTACATATATATGAGACATTTTTGGTCTAAGAGGTAAGTTATACAGACATACAATTATTTCTAAATTGTATTTGATCATAAATTGCCAAAATCGATTAGTAATATGCATATGACAAAAAATTTTTAAAACTTTTATATTGAATCGAATTCTATTAGATAAGTTAAAATAGAAAAGTGTTGCACCAAGCAACAAATCATCGATGATTAAACTAGAGAAGGGCTCATCATAAATTTCACCTTAAATCGATAAATTTCACATCAAAATGAGAAGGAAATTAGTTATGGGTAAATATAAGAACATTTATTATTCAATTATAGACGCTTTCTTTTGAGTTATAATTTGAGGAGCATTCAAAGTTGTGAGGCTTAAAAAACTTTAAAAGATTAAAATTATATCGATGAATCATTTGGTAGGAAGTAAGTTATTTAAAGATTAATATTTATATCATGGAATAATTTATCCTACCATGCATATGAAATAACTTATCCATCACTATGATATAAATGATGGAATAAATTATTACAAACACGACAACTAAACAAAATATTCAAAATTTATCCCAAAACTATATTTTAATCTTAAAACTATTTATTTATATTCCTTACGCCGACCAAACGACCCTCAGTGTTACAACCTAAATTATGAGCAGCATGGGAGATGCTCTATGGCCAACATGACTATTCAATCAAAACTTCAAAAAAAAAAATGGCATTCTCATTAGTGTGTATATCTCTTTGTATACACTTGACTTTTGGTCCATCACAAACAATAATAATACCTACTAAAGGGTAGGTCAACTAAATGTAGAAATTAGTGTTTATGTGGTGAATTGAGCTTGTAAAATTATCTTAATTAAACACATTCTCCAATAATTGATTAATGAACAAACTCCCACTATTATTTTTATTTGTTTAATTTAACTTTCAAATATTTTTTAAAATAATAGTTGATATGAATATTTTATTATGATATTCACATTATTTGATATTTAGTATTAGATCTTATAAAAAATATAGAGAATAAATAATTAATTTAAAAAGTAAAACATGATTATTTATTTATTTGGTGTCTTTTTGTTATGTTAAAAGTGACAAATAATGAAAATTCATTTTTTGAATAGTGGATAAGTAAAAGTGAATCGAGAAGATACCGTCTTTTAGTTTTTTTTCTCAATTAACATAACAAACTTTCCTTAGTTTATTTCAAAAAGAATGTCAAAGTTTTATATTTAGTAATAATTCAAGTTTAAAATCTATTTTTGTATACTTAATAAGATGAATTTATTATTACACAAATTTCTAAAAGCTACCTGAACAACATATTTCAAAATTTTTATTTTTCAAATAAAATACTTTATACCTAATTAAACAGTCATACAAATTAAAACCGGTGAAATAGTAATTTGGCTTTTATTGGAGGGGTGGCAGTGGGCGGTGTGGTGTGTAGTGTTAGACTGTGCATTGGAAGGGCCAATTATTCAATTTTTAAAGATATTCAAACTTATTTTGTTAATTTTAATTTTAGCTTTTCATACAATGAAGGGAAAAGGAATGTGACATACAAGGGTCCAATTAACATTTTAAAAGTCAATTATTTGTACTTCACATACTTGATTCTTTTGTGTGATTCTAAGAGTAACATAAATTAAAACGAGATTTAGGGTGAATTTGGCATGGATAAAAATATCTTAAATATCTTTTTTCATATTTAATTGATAAAAAGAATAAATTTTTTCATATTTTGCAACACATCTCACCTTCATTTTCACCTTGTAAGATTTTTTTAAAAAGTAACTTATCTTCGTACCAAGCGAACACACCCTTAGTTAGGTGGTGCACATTTTCAGTATCTACATATCAAATTCCTATAATGGACTATGACGACTTTCCAGTCAAAGAAAAAATAATTAAAAAATGCATTTAAAAATAGAATATTGGCCCTACCTGCACCGACTACTGTGATCACCATTCAATGAATTAATGCCAAAATATTACTAGTAAAAGAAAACAAATTCTTTCTACTATAGATATCACAATATATGCTCTAAAATAACAATTGGTCAAGAATGTGTTCTGCAGAAGCCCATTTCATCACTTAAAATAACCAGTTATTCATTTAGTAAGTTGACCTATTATTTGTGATAAACCAAAGGCCAAGTGTATATATATAGGGAAATACCATTTTTAAGTTCTGGAAATAAATAAATAAATAAAAGGTGTGGCATGGGGTGAATGATGGCAATATATGTGGCAATGTTCTTAGTTCTTTTTAATAGTTTTTATAAGAATTATTTTCTTCGAAAATACGAAATCCGAGTAAAATGACCATGGAAGCAAACTAGGTAAAGTAAAGATAGACATTTAGAAAAACAAAAGAAGTAGATGACTTTGATGGCTAATAACTAAAAGTTGAGTGACAATTCCAAGAACAATCAAAGTATTCTTTGAGGCAACTAGCTTATCAATGAAAGAAAGTTAAAAGAGTAAAAAATTGTGAACACATAATTACACAAGTGTCTATATAAACATACTTAAAGGGGTAATATTTAGATGGTTCTAAAAGAGTTAAAAGTTGTGAACACATAATTACACAAGTGTCTATATAAACATCATACTTAAAGGGGTAATATTTAGATGGTTTTACTATTGTATATACTACTACATTCATTTGTTTAGATGTAATTCAAAGTTCCAGAAATATATACACAAGCAGAATATTTACAGAGTTTTAGTTTTTTGCACCTCACATAATGGCCTGGTGAAGAGACCTCAGATGGTTATAGCAATCGTCGCTGCTGCTGAAGAATACCAAACAAACCCAGCAAACATGTTTTCCACACTTGCACTCGATATGATTGCAGCCATCTATCTTCTCTATCGTGAACCCGCAAACAGGACATTTCTTCACATTCTCTTTCCCCTTGGCCCATTCCTCTAGAGAGAAATCCGGGTTGTCCTTGAACTCCTTGTACTTCTCGCATGAGATGTAGGGGTGATACTCCAGGTGGCAACTCGTACACGTCTCCACATAGCATGCGCCACAGATAAAAGGTGCACCAGCTTCTCCTGATTCAGTAACATGATAAACTGAAGGGCAGTCAGGGGAGGGGCAAAACCGGTAGAGACCCCCACTTGCTGCTACAAATGCCCCTAAAGAAGCCCTGAAAAGTTCCTCCAACTTATCATTCGACAACAGAGACCTCAAATCAGAAACCAGAATATGTGCCCCACAACCTTTATGCATACAGCATAGAGGGAAACCTTCCCGGCTTCTGATTGCAGACTCGCACTGCTCCAGCAAGCACGACCGACAGAAGGTGTGGGTACAACCTTCAAGTCTGTAAGCATCCTCCAGTTCACACAAGCAAATGGGGCAGTCCGTCTCATTGTCCATCATTATACTTGGAAGACCACTGTGAGCAATTTCGGAAATTATCTCCTCAACTTTTTGCTTCATGTCTTTGGTACCTTTGACAGAGATGCAATGACGCTTTGTGTTCAGAGAGAATTCTGCATCGGGCACCTTTAGTTTGAGACCACTAAGATCTGGTCCAAAACTCTGAACAACTCTTTTCATCAGGTCAAGAGGCAAAAGTCCTCCACGAAGATGCACTTCAAGTTGCTTGCTTTCATGTAGTGCCAGAAGGGAGTTAACAAACTTCCGCTCAGCCATATCAATCTTGTCGGAGGAACCAAAGATTCTCACAGAAAGGCTATGCCTGTCAAAAAGAATATAGGTTCCTGTTTCTTGCTGAACCATCTTCATGATATTATTCCCTTCCCTAGAAAATAGAAGTTGAACAACAGTTGGAGAAATTCCCACATGATCCACAATCTTGCCTTTCATCAGTTGCTCCAATGGCCTTCTCAGTTCTGCCACAATCTTTGTAGCACTTGCAGATATTTTAACCCTAAAAGAACCATTCTCATTTCTCTCCAGATTGCACTCCACACCTGCAAAACAATCCCAAAGTCTTCTCAGCAGTCAAGTACCACCTGATCAACTTGTCTCCGAAATTTTTTACTGTTAAAAGTTAATTAAAAAATTGTTTTACTAAACCTTGTCTTATTATATCCCATATATTTCTGCAACACCAGAATGTAACAGGACAGAAATGTAGAGAGGGTAATCCGTAGAATGCAAGAATGTTTTTTCCCAATTACCGTTTTGAATTTGACCGGACAAAAGGTTATTTCTCCGTACAAGGCAAGTAATCATCAGATCAACATTAAATCTGGGAGATAATTTCATTCTGCTCTAGGAAATAAGGAAACAAAAAAGTGACAGCAGCAATTTAGATCA